CCCCCCCCCACAATCCCCTTTCCCCTCTTGCCCCTTCCCCTCCTCCTCCTCCAAAAAAAAGAGCATTAACATCGAATTCCCACTATCGATTTCCACTGATGCGCTCTCCAAGATGCTCCCTACTCGAAGTGGAGTTAGTTCAGAAGTAAGCTGATTGCGGGTTTCTGATCCTAGCGTACACTTGATACTTAAAAGACCGCTGTTTCACCACAGATTCATATTCGGTACGTTCGCTAATGAAGTAGCCAGCAACCATGCCATCCATATCGCCTTTGGGCTCTTCACATTTACAATAAACCATGCACTCGAGTTAGAGGATCGGTCCAGCACGGTGGCCCTCCACTTTCTGGTACGGCGTGCGTACCAGTACGAGCTGTTTTTCGTGGAAAACCCGCAAAAACTCACAAAGAAAAAAAAGGGGAAAAAGAAAGAGGGAGGTGCCTTGTCTTGAAAGGCAGATACACAGTAGATGTGCTGCCAGGCTGAACCTAGGACACAAGGTCTGGTGGTGTGGTGGTAACACATTGCGTCGGTACGTGAAGACGAGTGGTTCGATTCCCGTCCGGTCCAGAACAATTTTTGAAAAAGGACTCAGTGAACGATACCATTACCAATAGCAAGAAATTATTCCCAAATGAAAGCGGAGTGGAAAGTTCACCACTGAAAGATGAAGGAGAACTTCGTTGGTGACAGCTGTTGCCTGGATAAATTTCGCATCTGTTAAACGCGGTGTTGCACGTGTGAGCAGAAGCGTTTTCAGTATGCCTTCATTGCTGAGAAATGACGCTTCGAATCGGCCGAGAACACTGCTAAATGATGGTGGTGGCGGCCCAAGCAAGTTGATCCCCTCATATTTTCTGGAAATTTGCAAAAAATTCAATTCAGTATGAGAATTCAAGGTACAACGAAGATAGCTGGGTGTGCAGGGAAAAAGTATAGTACCATAAAGCGTTTTTGCAACCAATTTTTGGAAAAGCAGAGTAATGATTTGGTGTGGTTGCATACTGTGTGTTGTAAGTGCCTGATGGCGACAACGGGTCGACGACTGAATCTGCGCGGGCCTCGAAGTCAGAAGATGGGGTGAATCACAGAACAATAATTTCGGACTTTTTTACGCCAACAGATAAAGAAGGAGACCAAAAAAAACTCACTCGGGGCTTTTCTGCAGTATGCCAAAATGAAGCGTTAGCTTTCGTTCCGCAATCAACGCAGACAGGTCGTAAATTCTCTCATAATTTGTTTCTTCGCTGATCACATTCAGAGAAACGACTTGCATTTTTGGACTGCAAATGAAGCAGAGAGTTACTATAGGATGCATGGAACGCCGTGCTGAGCATGTTTTCTATCCAGCACAAATTTTGACCGTCGAAGTTAAAATCCGCTCCGTGCACACTTTCACGAGTATCGAGCCGTAATATCAAACGTTATATGATGAATTCATCATATTCTTACGCGGAAAAGGCCACAAGACCCACTGGATAAATCCAGGACAAAGGTGGAAGAAGGACAATCGCGTTTTTCCCCCTTCCCTTCTCTTTTTGTTCTAAGGTAATGGTGAAACTAAACGTCCAGTAACAC